AAGTATCTTTACAAAGTAGGCTATTGTTATCCTAAATGCAAATTAATACTACCTAATAATTACCGTTTCCAGTAACTTTGATTTCTCTTAAACCAATTACGACATACCCAACTATACAAATTTTAAATATCAAGTAGATAATCCACATGCCAAGTGAGACTTACATAGGGAGTAGAAATCCTACCACTAGTTTTAAACCACCTTCCTACTAGATCCAGTCTCGACTGTATCTGTTATGGGTGAAGCACATTGTGGAATATTATTATAGAGATTGATTTCAGTATTCTATTCGCTATTATCACTGATCCTCGAGATGTACCACTAGCATAATGCAGTACTACTGTTTTCATCACCTGTAGAACTGGCGTCCTTATTTGGATTCCGATTTAATCTTGTAGATCCTCACTAGACTCACTTGGCTTAACAATTTTGTCTAGTCTTCTCACCACCTGTGGCTGATACCTTGCCCTTCGGCCATATGATTAAATTTCGTGGAACACCATCATTGAGATAGATCTACAAGCTCCAAATTGGGATAAATCAACTTAGAATTAACCTCTTTATGTTATGTAACGGAGTTTGTCGTCACCAGTTTGGATTGGAATTTGTGGGCTTATTACCGGAGTTAGACCAGAAGCCTTTCCTTATACAACCTTCTTTGCTTTGACCTGTTTTCAGCCCGTAATCGTCGGGAAGATCAGAGGTCCCATCTTTATGCAGCCTAACTAAATTTGGAGATAGATTTTGTCAGCTGATTGGGTACAACATGAATTGAAAGCCAGTCAACCAATCATGAAGGTGATAAATTTTTGTAACCAGGCGGGGTTGAACCCTAGACCTTATCCTGGTGACCTATGGAGCATTATCACTGTGCTATAGACTTATAGGTTATTGATTTTGAATTTTTTTATGATATTAATTAGATATTGATAAGTAAACAAGCTAACATTTAACTTTTCTGAAATAATAAAAGAGATATTGTTTCTTTCAATGATGTATACCTTGTTATATACAATATCAAAATAAAGAAATGATGTTTATCTATTGGAAAAACCCTCCCCCCCAAAAAAAATATTAGGCAAGGCCTGACTAGTTAAAAAAAAAATTAAATCATATGACACAATTCACGTGATTGGTGGTTTAAACCACGTGACTGAGTTTTATACACCTTAACTTTGACCATGCGAATGAAATTTTTCAAATATTCAATAACCAGGAAATTTATAGTACAGCGGACTATTACCACACATTTTCAAAAATTAAAAGCTGCCAGTCTTTCAAGTTTTCGTGTCAAAGTTATAACTACTGCACCTGGCTTTGCACAGTACCTTACTACCGCCAAGGAAATGTCGAAACAAACAAGCATCGGGTATGTTTTGTTACTTTATAAGTTCGACAAAAAGTATACGAAGATATAGCAGTCCGAGATATTTTAACGTTTTTGAACTAACAATTTTCAACACTTTCTGTGTTTTTTATTTTATTTGCCGACGCGACGCGTCAAATTATTCTGAAAAAAAGCGCGTTTTTTAAACCGTTCGCCGAAGAAAATAAGACAAAAGGAATAGTAAGGCCTATTAATAACTCTCAGAAGAGGACAATAAGCACAGTAGAGCGTGGAAATAACTCTCAAAAGAAGGGGAAAAAATTGCAGGAAACCCCAGAAAAGTCACCTAGCGTTTCTTCTGAAGTATCCCCCAAAACGTCAGAAGAAAAGGCAGACTTAACAGATTCTTCACCGGAAACATCCCCAAGGCTTCCAGTTTTAAAAAGGCATCTTAAACGACGTATACTATTTTCCTCGGATGATGAAGAAGAAAACAAGAAATTGAAGTTGCAAAATGATGAAAATAATTCTGGGACACTAGATGTCGATCATATTGCCGAAATGGAAATCATTGACAGCGATAATGAAAAAGAGAAAGTGGCGGAAGGATCACTTGATTCAATGGAAGTGGATGATGGTGTTGGTCAGACGACAAACGAGAGTGGTGATACTGTAACGACGAAGAAAACGATTGGTAAACGACAGTCAAAAGGATCGAATAAAAAGACTATTACAACAGGCAAGAAAAAATCAGCTTCTGTACAGAAAAAATCTCAAAATAAAGTTCAAGAGACAGGGGTAGAAGTAGGAGATGAAGTAGTCATGCAAAAGTCAAAGTCTAGAGTAATCACAAAAAAACAAAAAGATCAAGATATGAATCATGATAAGACTGACGATATTGAATCTGAAAATGATTCTGAAGCTGAAGAGAAAGTAAAATCTGCCATAAAAACGTCGGCTGCCGACTTGTAAGTGTTTTGCGTATTATTGTGGTATTACTATAAAAAAAAAAAAACTAATTTTCCATGATCTATTAAGAGCAAGCCGTAGTCTTCCCAAAGATATTGGTGTAAGCTGGAAAGACGGAGAATTGTAAGTCGTAATCGGAGATTTTATAATGTAAAATGGAGTCATTCGTCACATTACTGATTCATTTTTTTTTATTAGAGTTCCTTATGCAGCGCTCTGCAAAACTTTTGAAAAAATAGAGGCAACTACAAAACGTCTTGAGATTCAGGAGCATCTAACTTCTCTTTTTGTTCATGTAATCGAAAAAAGTCCGAACAATCTGCTGTTTGTCCTATACCTGTGTTTGAACAGAGTAAGGACCTGTAAATTTGATTTCATGTTCGCTTGTCGGACTTCTCTGATATGTAATATATATTTTTCGAATCATGTATAGGTTTGTCCTGAATACGAAAGCTTGGAATTAGGTGTTGGTGAGTCTTTGCTAATAAAAGCCATTGCTGAAACAACTGGTCGAAAAACTTCAAAGGTTAAAGAAGAGTTGGCAAAATGGGGAGATTTAGGTAAAGTTGCAAAGGTATAGAGCTTTGTCTATTTGTTATATATGTTTACTTGTAATTCCTTTTTTGTTATTTATTCAGTTTTCTTCTTCAGGACAGCAAAACTACTCAGCCAACTTTGGTTGCACCAAAACCTCTGACAGTTCAAGCAGTCTTTGATAAAATGAAGTTCATTGCAGAAACTAGTGGACAAGACGTAAATATTAGATGTACATAAACACATCATGTAATTATAATATTCTAAAAAGTTTACTATTGGTTTACTAAGTCTCAAGAAAAGAAGGTTAGAGAAATAAAACTCTTGCTGACGGCTTGTCGAGATGAAGAGCCAAAATACTTGATCAGGTATATATATGGTGGGCAGTTCTCACTTCTAATTTCCGTTATTCAACCGATATGTAATCTTATAATAGATCACTTGAAGGAAAATTGCGCATTGGCCTTGCTGAACAGACTATTTTAATATCATTGGCTCAAGCGATTATTTTAAAAGATCCTGGTAAAAAATTTTCATCTCCTTCGGTATGTTCAAAAGTTACATAAATGATTCACTAATGTTTTGATTATTGCTTGCAGTTTATCAACAATTACCCAAAGCGAAGAAGGCGGAAGAATTAGCTGAAGCTCCTAATATAGTAAAAGCTGTTTACAGGTTTATATCACCAATTGTATAATACATTTTTGAATATTTTTTGACACTGGTTCTTTATTTTTGATAATCAGTGAATTGCCATCCTACGATATCATCGTTCCTACTTTGCTTGAATATGGTGTTAAGGGACTAGCAGAACGGTGTAAATTGACGCCTGGTAAAGACTATTTACGTATATAACTTTACTTTTATTTTCATCATGATTTTATTTTTATTTTATTTTTTTTAATTTAGGCATTCCGATTAAGCCCATGTTGGCTCATCCAACAAAAAGTATCACCGAAGTGTTGGATCGAGTGGAAGGGCATAAATTTACATGCGAGTTCAAATATGACGGCGAACGTGGACAGGTAACGTTTTAAATTTTCCACGTGCTGATTTTATTACTTAATATAAACTATTTGTCGAATTACATAGATTCATATGCTTGAAGATGGTATGGTCAAAATTTATAGTCGTAATTTAGAAGACAGTTCAATGAAGTTTCCGGATATAGTGGAAAAACTGCCAAAGGTAATTTTTGAATGAAGAAGAATGTAATAAGAAAGTGGATTGGTTACTTTACTCGATGTTTCACTTTTGTAGATAGTGAAGCCCGATACCAAGTCTTTCGTACTTGATTGTGAAGTTGTTGCATGGGACCCAAATAAAGGATGCTTATTACCGTTTCAGGTTTTAAGTACTCGTAAAAGGAAGGACGTCAAAGAATCGGATATTAAAGTTGTTGTGTGCCTTTATGCTTTCGACTTGCTATATTTAAATGGAGAGGTAGGTAAAGATTTTTGCATGATTTTTCAAGTTTTTTCAACACTCAGAAACATAATTGGATGTAAACAAATTTCCTTAGTCACTCCTCAGGAAATCGCTTGAGGAAAGACGTGAATGTTTGTACGAGGCTTTCCAAGAGGTCGAGGGTAACTTTGCTTTTGCTAGTTACATGAACGCCACGAGCACCGATGAAATTCAGACATTCTTGGACGACAGCGTCAAAAACAGTTGTGAAGGGTTAATGGTAAAAATACTTGATGGTCAGCAATCAACTTATGAACCTTCTAAGCGGTCCAGAAATTGGCTGAAGGTATTATGATATAGAAGCAAAAAAAAGTGCATATTTTATATATATTTCACCTATAAATTCTTTTGTACCTATAATAGCTAAAAAAAGATTACCTTAGCGGCATTGGAGATTCTCTGGACCTTGTCGTTATTGGTGCATACTTAGGACGCGGGAAACGAATGAATGTATATGGTGCTTTCCTTCTTGCCTGTTATGATCCGAATGAAGAACAATATCAAACAATTTGTAAAATTGGGACAGGATTTTCAGAAGCGTCATTAGAAAATCATTTTAAATTTCTTAAAGAACAAGAAATTTCTGAGCCAAAAAGTTATTACGATTACGACAGAAACACGAAGCCTGATGTTTGGTTCGAACCGGTTCAGGTGTGGGAAATTAAAGCTGCCGATCTTAGCATTTCTCCCGTTTATAAGGCGGCTTTCGGATTGGTATTTGTTATTTTTTTTTTTTTTTCATTTCCTAATAAACCTGATGATATTATTTTAAGCGTCGATTATTTTTTATCTTAGGTTGATTCCGCTAAAGGTATTTCTTTACGTTTTCCCCGGTTTGTGCAAGTACGAGAAGACAAGAAATCAGAAGACGCAACAACGAGCGAGCAGGTAAAGTTGAACTCTTATGGTGTGTCTCCGATTAACAATCTATGTCTAATAATGTTATATACAAAACTCAGGTTGCTGACATGTACAGGCAACAATTTAATAACAAATAGATCATGCAGGATGATGTTCAGGTCTTCAATTTTGTAAACCAATTTTCAGATACATTTTCATGGGTGTAATTATATCACATTTAAAATTCATTTCCATTTCCTCGTGAGCATTGACTACTTTTAATTGTTATTGAGATTCTATGTGTACATGGTGAGCCTTTCAGCTATTCTTTCGTCCAATTCTGGTTCTTCAAGATGATTTCCCTTGAAAAATTTTTCTTCGTCTTCTCCCAGTTTCAAATCGTCTTTCATAAATTTCCTTACATTATTACCTAAAGCCACTTTGACCACCTCTTTGCTCGCAATATCATAATTCATGTAGGAGTTAAATGCGTGATAAATTCTCAGTGGAATATACATCCATCCAATTCGATTATAGAAATGAACGTATCCGATAGGTTCAAGTTTTGGCACAGAAAATTCGTCTTCCCCCTTCACTAATGTTTGTGACTTGGTTGACAAATTCGGTATAGGTTTTTCCATTGAGACAGTTTGATTTTCTGGATCTATTTCATTCTTACTCACCGTTGTTGGAGAATCAGGCTGTGGATCCACAAGAGATGCCGAGCACCCATCATTTAATCCTTGCAGATATTCTACCCAACTAAGACGGCCTATGATTATAGCACCATCACTTTCCGATGAAGGTGTTGGCAATTGTGGATCATGCATGATTGCACCACTAGATTTATTATCATTATATTGTGTTAGATTGTTTTTTGTCGATTTGAGACGTCGTTCTCTTATAATCTCACATACTTTGGAACGAAGCTGCCCAGGTTGAATTCCCTCCACGAGTTCATAATCTAGAGCCGAAGCCACTAGAACTGGCTGTTTTATACAATCAGAATCATCAAGCGATTTCATAAGAAAATTCAAGTTATTTACGTGCCGACAAAATTCGAAAATGATTTCTTAAAAAGCAGAAAAATAAACAATTATCATTATTCTTTTTCCTTTGCTTTCTTTACCTTGACATATTCCCGGAAGTGGACTCTTGTTTTATGTATTCCGTCGCCGGGTGGTGGTGCCAAGTATACAGTTACCTTACGCGGTAATTCGCTTACACTTAATGGCTCCAAAGCGATATGTGCCACTTTCTCTTCAACGCGTCTCTTGGCTTGTTCCGATAGTATGTGATCACGATAGAATAAACCTGCCAGACCAGCACAACTGCCGAAAAATAATAATACTTTTTTAGAAGGAAGTTTAAGGGAAGAAAAAATTTTGATTGACATTTTGTGAGTCAGGATTTTCGAGATTATCTACAAATTATAAAAATTTATTTGTATCACATGACTCCTCTAAAGGATAAAATGTATGCAAGTTTGTTTCCCGCCCATACTCGAATATCCAATGTCCAAAGCATTTTCCTTAGAAGCTATTGTTCGTCCCAATATACTCGCGCTGAAACCATACCGATGTGCAAGAGATGACTATAGTTCGGGAATCCTTCTTGACGCCAATGAAAATTCCTTCGGCTCGGTACTCGAGGTTGGCGAGCCGCGTTCTTCGCAAGACCTTCACAGGTACCCTGACCCAAACCAAGTTCCTATAAAGGAGAGACTTGTCTCCTTTCGTGGTTTGCCGTCCATTGACTACTTTTTCCTAGGGGTAGGTTCCGACGAAATCATAGATTTGGTCATCAGGATTTTCTGCGTTCCCGGAAAAGATAAAATCTTAATTACCCCACCCACCTATGGAATGTATTCGGTATGTGCGAATATTAATGACGTTAGCATAGTGAAAGTGAATTTGGATGTAGAAGATGGGAGGTTTCAGTTGAAAACTGACGAGGTTGGTGTCATTACTCTACGGACTTTCCCAATTTTTCATGTGTTTTTAAGTCAAACGTTCTATCAATAACTTTATAGATATCAAAAGCATTATCAGAAAACCCATCGATTAAGATCATTTTTCTCTGTTCACCTGGAAACCCAACAGGCACGGCCTTGTCCCACAACGATATCAAGGCGATCCTAGAAGATCCTAATCTCAATGGCGTAGTGGTGGTGGATGAGGCATATATCGATTTCATGGACGAAGGGAGAAACGCAAGTGTGGCAAAGTGGGCGGAACGGTATCCAAATATAATAGTCATGCAAACTTTGAGCAAGAGTTTTGGGTTGGCCGGAGTTAGGTACGAATCATTGATTTCGCTCTCGACGAATTAATCAATTATTAAAAATGCACTTTCTCGAATTTACAGACTTGGCATTGGCATATCCAATCCCGAAATTATTCAATTAATGAATAACACAAAAGCACCCTATAATGTCAATTCGTTGACTTCTTCGATCGCGCTTGATGCCTTGTCCCCAAAGAATATTGAAAAGATGCGTTCCACTACTCAACAAATTCAAGTCGAGAAAACCAAATTAATGTCTTCTATTGTGCGTCTTCGTGGAATCGGCAAGATCATTGGTGCAAACGACGCCAACTTCATTCTCGTACAAATTTTGGACGAGACTTGCGAAAAGCCGGACCGTGAGCGAGCTCAATCGGTTTATAAAAAACTGGCAGAATATCATGGGGTTGTGGTTAGATATCGAGGTAGTGAATTCGGATGTGAAGGGTGTCTAAGGATCACTGTTGGAACACCACAAGAGAATGACACATTAATAGAAAAGTTGGGTGTTGCTTTGGAAATAAAATAATCATGAAGGTCAAGAGCTCCCGACACAAACCATTAATTTATTGAAACAACTACGATTGAATTATATTGATGCCATAACATTGTTGATATTTGCCCCGGTCGATTGGTTGACACAAGTTATGCTAGACAATCAAGAAATTTTTCGAGTGTATTAATTTGTTCCTTGTAATTTCTTTGCAAAAGCACCTGTTCAATTATATTCAACACAATTTTGCAAAATGAATTACCTTTCACCATCGTGTACCATTCATTATTAAAGTCACATGATAAAATTTATTTGTTCGCGAAAAGAAAACAATCTATAAAAAAACAATATATCTCGTTGCTATCATAGCATAAATACTCATTGAGGGACCGAAAATTATTTACTTAGAGAGAAAGTTGTAAAAACGAATCGTTAAAAAATTAACCGAGTGAAGAATAAAACCGTTGTGATCTACCTAAAAATGATATAAGCCGAAAATAGATAAATAATTTCTATCATGATTTTCGTGACACTGGAAACAGTCACGTAATTAATATTAGGTTTCATAAATAAAGGGTAAATGTGAAAGCGAGCAAAACTTATGTAACGTGATTATTTCAACCCTGAGCGAAATTTTGAGTCCATTCTCGAGCTATATGTAGAGAATAATAATTTTAATTTCCGCTAGAAAAAAACCTGCAGCTTCTTGTTCAAAAAATTACCTGTTGCGATAGCAGCTTTTTCATTCTCCTTCCAGTGTTGTGCTACATCATTCGCGAGTGGATCTTCTGGATTGGGTGCTGACAAAAGAGCTTGTATGGAAAGGAGTACAGTACGAATCTGGAGGGCTGGTGACCATTTGTCTAAAAGAAAAAGTCAAAGGTCAACTACAATAAATAACGAATCACGGACTATATCAAGATGCATTTGGACAATTTTTGCATTTAGACAATTTTCACCAACCTTTCAGAATATCTAAACAAATTCTACCAAGCTTATCGATATTGGGATGATATATCTTGGTCAAAAAGCGAACCTTGGGTGGTGTCATCGGGTATTCTTCAGGGAGGAATAATTCTAGCTTAAAAACGCCACCTGCAGCATGTCACCCCCAAGAATAAAGAGAGAACTCTGGTCAATTCCAGGTTGACGAGATTTTCAGAAAGGATTTTTTATTTTAAAATGTTATCCTACCTTCAAAAGGGGATTGACTCGGCCCGGCGATAATGACATCAAAATAACGAAGATTTTCTTCGTGAGGTGTAGCGCTAATTCCTGGTGCAGGTTCTTGCAGTAAGCGTTCGGTTTCCTATAGTTCAGAAAGTAAAGTTCGCTTTATAAGTAGGTAGCAGGCCACGAGAGCTGACGTATAAAAATTTTGATTTCCGTCTAACTTGTAAGGGGTAGAAAACTAATGGTATGAAGGTGTTTTTTCTGACGCATCGTATGCTCCTACCTTAATGATTCTCTTAGGTAAGGACATGTTTCTTTGGGTAATTTGGATCAGCTTATCAGGCCTTTTATATTCAGATACGAAGAATCACATGATCGATTGATAATAAGGCAAATTTTATCTATACAATGATTTTAAATAATTCTAAGTACACTATTATACCAAATACAGTATTTCATAAAAACAATTAATTTTGAAATGTAAATTGTTATTGATTCCACGGTTCTCGATGATTCTATCGTTCAATCATTCTCAACCAACCATTTTCACCTGCGGCCTCGGCCTGGGAGGTTCGTCTCCGTTTATACATACATATATATAAGTTGTGGTCAAAAAACGCCTTTTTCAAGTTTCCACACATTACACCATTTGTCGCTTGTTCTCATCCTTGCCTTTTTAAATAATCAAAATGGCCCGTAAGTAAACTACTGGATTCAAATGCGGAAGAAGTGGAGGCAGTGCACTTACGAAATATTTTTTATAGGTGGCAATCAAAGAGAAAAGGCCCGTGAAAAAAACCAAAAAAACCAAAAAAACCAAAAAAAACAACCGAAGAAAAAGGAAGAAGGCACTACCTTCAAAAAGCGTGCTGAAAGGTGGGTGTTAACGCTTACTAAACTTCACTCGACAAAAAGCTTGACGTGTTGCTGCCGTTTTTTTTGGTTAGAGCCTTGTAAAAAAAACATTTCAGCAAATATAGTAAAGTGTAGAATATTATTAATTAATAATGTAAAAGTGAGAAAGAATAATTTTATATGTTTACAAGAAAAGAAAACTCAAGCGTCTGATCAATCTCGTACTAAAGTTGTTTCTCAATTTCTTAATCTTGGAACATGAATCCCCGATCGATGATTTAACGTATTAATATTATGTCAGTGACGCTGAAATCATGAGACAAAAACAACAGGTAATTTGCAATCCGATTGCTAGTAGTAATGTTGACGGAATGTGGTCTCTCATGAATATCCATTATTTGTTTCTATCTCAATAGAAAGCGCTAGAAAAGAAGACGGAGGGAGGAACCTCTTAGATACATAAACGTTGGTTCGGTTATCCAAGGTGGACAATTGTTTCAATATATTCCGATTTCCGAGTCTTTCGTACCCTACAATTCCTAATTTCTTCTAACACCCTTCTTTTCTTCTTTATTAATGTTGCCATCACCAGTTATGATAAATTCTATTGTATTCATAACGGTTCACAGCCCTGGTCGCTTTTCTGGCCTGGCTTCTTTATACATATTTATATAATACTTTTGTGTGGTCTTGATCTCGATAAATCCTTTTTGTTATTTGTTATATTTTACGTAATTCATCTGACACTAGATTTTTATATATTTACGAATGTTACCTGTACATTTTTATCTGGATTTAGCGGATCATTCTAAGCTTGAATAAAAAGAATGTTTATGATGTTGTTTACAGAGCACGCTTTAAGCATTCGTCAAATTAATAAGTCACGTCGGCATCAATTCATGAACTAACTGTATACGTTGCTTTCTCTCCTGCGTATGCAAAGTCGTTTTGTCATCTTTATTATTAATTTTAAAAGTTGTTCTTTCTCCCTTCCGGGATTTCTTAAACTTCTCTCAATTGTTCCGAACTTTCTTTATTAATAGAGGCTTTCGTCTCATTTCTTAATTCATACAATTGTCCAAGTTGTTGTTCGCTAAATTTCTCCAAGCTTTCGGAATCAAGCTTTTTGCCATATCGAATTTCCTCAACAGGAACTGAAGCACTAGTCTGCTGTTTCAGTTCCTCCAGGTATGATTGCCACTGACTAAAAAAGCCAACAAGGTAAAGAGGATTTGTTACATCCCTGTGTCTCCTAAATTCGGACTTTACATAGTCATCACCGAGAAGGCGAAGTGAGGGCGGCAAACGACGGTGGATCCGAAGGATTTGACGATACAAAGTTAATGGCGGATAAAGGTTTTTAGGTCGAGACGATAGATGTTTGGAAGCCATTGATCAACGACATTATAGCAGATGACGTGATAACATACATACGTATGTACGTAATCAAACTCGTCCGTGCGGCCACGAGTTTATAAATTCAGTACGTGCGTGGTAATATTTCAAGTGGATTCTTTGTTCTTCCCTACTCCCTACTTTATCTCTTTCTAAGAAACGGAAAACCGAAAGAAAAAGTAAGAATTCGCGACAGCCGTTGAACAAAATGTTTATTGAATTTTGTGATTTACTTTGGTGGTTTTGTTAAACAATTGATATGCACTTGTGTTTTCTAATGATATTTATATGGCATTCTCGAGATATCCCTCTCGTCTAATTTAAAAATCTATTTTAATAAATTTCATCACTTTCGTTAGGAAAAGCAAAACATGTACGAAGATCAAGAGGATAACGATAGTCCAAGTTGGTTGGATGCTCTTCCCTTCCATCCTATTTTTCACACTGAGACGTGCGCGCAGCTAAACGAGAAATGTAAGTTAAGCCTTTTTTCGCAAATTCATTCTTTTGCATTATTTAATCATTCTGCAAATGTTCAGTTCAAGCGTTGAAGCTATACGGAAATCCACAAGGAAAACGATCAAAAATTACAACTTCAATTAACGAAAACCTCATTGTGGCGGTTGATTCGGAATTACGGATTCTAAATCTAATGGAATTTAAATTTGCGTGGCGTCAAGCATATGATCGCGGTGAATTAACCTTAAATGGCGTCGGCGAAGGTGAGACCATACCAGAATGGATGGAGGAGGTGAAATATATTACGCTCGATACGCCATCCATAAAGTTTCAGATTCAGTCAGTTGTCGTAAATTTCAAGGAGAGAGGCTCGTTAATCGCCGTAATTGGTGATTACGAGTTGGCTGTGATTGTTCTACCGAAATCCATTTACCCTACTCCGACAAGTGAGAAAATTTCTTGCAAGAAAGTTTTTCTTATCACATATCCCATCATTTTTACTCCCTAATCTTCAAGCTAATTCGTCCTTACCTCATTTACAGAGCTTACAGTGTTGGCCAATTTTATCACGTTATTGGTGCAAGTCCAATAGCCAAAGTGTTATGGCACCCTATGAGCGAGACCGGATCTCATCTGATGGTCTTGACCGAAGACATGATACTCAGGTTCTGCATTGTCTTGGCACTTATTATTGATCATTTCAGACGATATTTTTGGAACTTAGGCTTTCGATTTATCTTTCAGAATGTACAATGTTCTTGATAGCGTGAGTGAGCCCGAACAACGATATTCGTTCTCTCCAAATCCAACGAAAAATCACAATGTCTCATTTAGCGTCGAGGACACCAGAGCAGTGTCATTCTGCTTCGGCCAGGGTTACGAAGGTTGGGGCGGATTCGTCGTCTATGTGTTGACAGATGGTGGCGATGTTTATTCCATGTGTCCTATCGTGCCTAAAAAATGGTAAGCGTGTTTAGCTTGCATCAAACGTCTCTTCACCTATTTTTCTCCTCTAATCGCTTCCTATTATTTCCAGCTTTTGTCATAAATTTTTTTTGGATCAACTGGCGTGTCTCGTAACAAAAAAATATTCTGAAACTGAAATATTGGTGAATCGGCAAGGCTATGAAAACTGCGAAATTTTACTGGAGCAATATCGACAGCAAGTCAATTGGGTGTCAGCTGTTTATAAACAGATCAATGGTATAAATTCGGACAGGGTTATCTTCAATCCACCTTCTATCGGACGAAGATATCCAAAGTTACAGGGACCTTATTTAATACAACCTCAACCGGTGGAATTGTCATCGCACGCGACTGACGCTAGTGATATCATCTTTTTGCCGACCGAGCCAGTTAGCGTAATCGCGATAGCGTACAATAATGGACGCATCGATGTTTGTCTTGAGGTTGATAAAGTGGAAGCATTGTGGGAGGTATTTGTAGAACTATAAAAGTAATTTAATTTTTTTATATTCATTCTTTGATTTCTCATCATTTCCCTGATCCAATCATCTTAAATTATGATCTCAACGAAAACCATAAAGGATTCCATAGAAGTCGATCACCCGACTTTGATACTCTACGAATGTATCGATCTCGGATTCGTAAAGGATTTCGTTGCCCCGACGTCGTGGCGCGGTCAGAAAATAACAAATTCCATCAACCATCCGACCCTGGTGTCTGATCCTTTTTATCCCGACGTCTTTTACGTATATCACTTTGCGGGCGCACATGGTATCGTACTCAAAGGTTGGCTAGATGAACTGGGCGAGGCGATTAGCGAAGACTCTGAAAAAACGACGATAGAAGAATTTTTGGGAAAGAACCGGAAGTCAGATGTTAATTGGATAGCCGGTACATTTCCAAGGTAACGCGTCTTTCACGGAAGTGTGTTGTGGGCGTGAGAGCACACTTGGTCGGATGCAACAATCGTTCTCTTCCTTTATTTATTTCAGTGATCCCGATCCTCTTGTCGGCATATCGATAATAAATGACGTTCAACTGTCATATGCAATTCTGATGATTTCTTCAACACTCCAGCTGATTCACCACGAATTAACAATCAGGAAACCGTTGATGTCAGTCGACAGGGTCAGGTTAAATGAAGATTATTACAACGAAGGCTCGAGGCCCAATCTTCTGTCGATAATTAAATTTCCGGATGTCTTGGAGAGGTATCGAAATTACCAAGGCCTTACACACCAACCAAAGCTTTTGTCATCACGGAATAAAACAAGATCAACAACAATGGGCGATGAGATTGATTATGAATTCATCTTTTCGTTGATGGGGGCAATACAGCAGGAGGTACACGACATCAAGGAAGCCGAAAACGCCCTATCTAAGAGGTTGGTGAACATCACCACTAATAGTGGATTTTATTGATATGATGACTGAATTTGACGCGGTTCTTTTTTTATTCTACATCCCTAGGTTTGAAATTCAGTCGACGGAATTCCGGCGTCAGGTCAAAGAAGTTAGCGACGCACGAAAATATATGGACGAACACCTGAATAATAAGCATCCGGAAATTTCCGACCGTCTGCAAAGACTGAGAGACACTCAAATTGCCCTCGAAAGCAAAGCTAACACCATCATTCAGAGATTGATGTATCAGGATGATCCCATACTTGGAGAGTTCGAGACTTCTTATTATCAATCCCTGGAGAACATCAATCAAGCCATCAAGGGCGAAAATGGGTTGAGGGTCAAAATAAAGCAGGTTCTTATCGTGTTTGAATAATAACCTCATGCGTTTTGACATCCTCTCGTTCTCACGGGTTCCGATTCTTGTAGTTGCAAACGCGCCACCTGACCCTCAAGCAAGACTACAGACTTGTCTCTCCTCAACGTTCTTTAAATAAATCGAAGCAATTTGTCGTCCTTAGCGGAAGTCAATTGAGCAAAGTGGAAGATGCTCTGAGCAAAGAGTAAGAACCTCCTCAAGTGTTCACATCTCGTAATTCCTTTTTTTTTATTTAAAAAAAGTTCGTGCTCAATTAAAATCTCTTACAATAGAATGGAATTGATCGATGATACGACGCGTAAAATCGAAAAGGCACAAGAGAAACTGAAAAAACTCCAATTGAAAAATTCCAAGAAGGCAGCGTAAGAAAAATGATGTAAACTCGAGAATAGCATTATCATTATCTATGGTCGAGAGAATATGAATGTACGCCGTTTTATAATGGGTTTAGTAAATAGTGTACCCCAGCGATCACCGATATATCGATATACATTATATACGTATATATGCGTATGCGTTGACACGAGTAAGAAAATTTTTACCAAAATTAAATTTCCTAATGCCGACTGCGGAATCATTTATAGTCATCGTCGGCGCATTACGAAGGCGTAATACACTATTTTTATAATCACAGCTTAGACTTAAAAGTTAATCGACGACCCCCTGATGGAGACCCTAAAAAGAGATATATTTCGACTGATTTGCGTACGTAGATAAATTTTTCTCCTGATAGAAAAATTGTTCGAATAAAAATTGTCACCGTTTCACCCCTGTCTCGTAAAACATGAGCGCAAAACCAGCGTATTCGCCGTTATTAGAGGCCAAAGTAGTAATTTTAGGAAGTCAAGGTAGTTCAAGTAGATCTTTGGTATATAGTTCATGATCGAGTGGACAAATCCTGGTATCTTATTGATCACTTTCTGCGCACGACATACATGTTCAGGTGTCGGTAAGACTTCTCTGGCGGTGCGCTATGTTCAAAAGACATTCTCGCCTAACTGCTCATCAACGATTGGTGCTTCTTTCATGACAAAAAAGCTGTGAGTCTATACCACCTTGCATTCTTCCTAAAGTGCTTTTTGTTAAATTATGAGCGCTTCAGGCTACGTGTCATACATACACTTGGTCGCGAGCTTTTTAAAAATTCGACTTTAGAGAAGGAAGAATATATGCTTATTAATCAAATCTTCCTAAAGATTTGTTTGCAACACTAGAGAAAGTTGTTGCAAGTTTCTTGGGAAACGCGATCCTTCTATTAATAAAAGTTATGATAAACTGATGTTTGATATTTCAACTTTACACAAATTCGGATGTTTGCGACCAAGCGGATACTCGCTTACATAGATTTCTGGCACTCTGGCACTTTGGCGTATTCTTTTTTTTTTGTTTCTTTTTTTGATCAATTTATCGACTTCATTCTTTCCAGTGTTGTGGACAACTGTAAAGTAAGACTTCAGATATGGGATACGGCAGGTCAAGAACGATTTCGAACGATGGTGCATATTATTTCATATTTCCTTTCAAACCACCGTGAAATCGATAGCGCATGCTAAACATCCATCAAATCTTTCTTACATAGGCACCCATGTACTACAGAGGGGTAAGCATTTTTAACGATCATAAACGTTACTTCGCGATGACGAATTAGAATTTTAGGGTTTCATACATTGGGTAGGCCAATGCTGCGATTTTGGTATATGACATCACGTCCGACGAAAGTTTCCGGGATATGAATTCCTGGGTCGAAGGTAAACAAATATATAGTAAATTAAGTATGGGCGATGATGAAATGATCGTGACCATAACCATCGAATTCTTTTTCTTTCTTTTAGAATTACGCAAAAACATGACGGAGGATCTGAGTAAAAAAATTTTTTTTCTCTATACATGGATTTCGTAAATGAGACTAATTCTGAAATCCTGGTTATTACTTCATTCATGATAATCATTAGTAATACATGTGGTGGGAAATAAACTTGATCTGGCGCCCAGCCATCGAGTTGTACCATTCACAAGGACGCAAGAATATGTTTCGCGGATTTTGGGAACTGATTGTGCGGTACACGAAGTCTCAGCCAAAGATGATAACGGTACAACCTCGAGAAATTCACAATTCGGTTCTTTATTCTTTTTACTAACGGCATTTTGTCCCACTGACGACAGGTGTCGAGGAGCTGTTTCTTCAGATCACGCGTAGCCTTGTTGAGCGCAAAAATATGTATGAAATGCAAAGTCGACAGATCTCTAATAACCGAAAATACATTGAGAACGAAGCAGCACCCAGTTCAGGATGTTGCACTTCGTGATATTATCATATCACGAAAGGCCTTTCGTTTTAATCATTACCAATCATTCACATTTAAAATGCATTTTCTTGCGTCAACCATTTTTTACTACTTACTGGACCCACGAATGATCTGTGGTTGGCAGAACATGGACTTAAGGTTGTTGGGATTTTGATGGAACCGCGAGATACACTTTTATTTCTTTCTTGGACAATTTTATGTACAATTTTGTGTACTTTAGAAAAATATGATCATAAAAATATTTATTTTATATTTTTCCAATACAAGAACGTGCATCTATTTTGGAAAAATGTCAGAATTGTTATCAATTATTAGACATATGTAAGTTGATGTCATTATTTACAAATAAATTTAAATTATGTTGCAGCAGGTGACATCAATGACAAAATAGTTTATTATGTAAGTGAAAAAATCAACCGTTTACTTATTATACTGTATATAATGCATCAATATATTTGTTAAATTGTATGACAATGGGAATCAAAATTCTTTTAATAAAATAATTTCATATATAGTATGTGTTTTAAGATAAAAATCGATTATGAAATTTCAATATTTTTTTTTGATAAAAAAACAATAATTTAAATATTAACTTTATTTCTTATATAATAAAAAATTATTTATTTTTTAGAAAATTTTATGAAAAGCTTATTTATAAAAAATTTTAACAAAATTTTTTGAAATTATCTTTGAAACTATAAAAAAAAATAATTTTTAAATATTCTTTATAATATAACAATAAAATATATTCCTTAATCTGTAAATATTTCCAGGCAAATTTATTTAGAAAATTAATAAAAATATTTATGATTTATTTTTTTTAAAAATTTTAAAATATTCAAATTAAAAATTTTTTTAATAATATTTGAAAATAAAGATTATATTATAACAATATTTGATTTTATATTATAAGAAAAAAATTTAAGTACTATTAATATAAAAATATATTAATTTTTAAAAAAAATTTTTAAACTCAAAAAATTATTTATTTATTCTTAACAAATTTTTTAAATATTGATTTTAAACAAATAATTTATAATATAGTATTGTAACTTATATAAAAAATAATAATTTTTATTATTATATTTTTTTTTGTAATTTATTTTAAAACTTTAAATTTATATTATAAATAAAAATCATTTTTATTTTTAAAAATATATAAAATTATAAAAAATTTTTATAATAAAAATTTGCAAATAAAAATTTAAATTTTTATTGTTTAATAGTTTATTAATGATTTTTTATAAAATAAATTTTCAAAAATATTTTATATAAGATAAATATATCCTATATTATATATAAATTGTTATTTTGTTTAAAAAATATTAATAATATTTAATTTTGTAAGTAAATTTGTTTATAAAACAATTTAAAAAATAATATTTTTATCTTTCGAAATAAAAATAAAACTTGTTTTTTTTTTAAAAAACAATATATTTATTATAATTGTTATTAGAAATTAAAAAATTATTAACTTTTTTTTATATTTAAATTAATAAAATTTTGTAAATATTTTTAATTACATTTGTTTTACTTAAAAAATTTTATTTGTAATAATTTTAATTAAAGAAAAATATTATATATTTTTTATTATATAATAGAATAGAATAAAACCTTTAATCAAAATCTATTTAAATTTATAAGTCTTGTTTATTCTTTAGTTATATAAAAAAAAATTTATAATAATATTTTTTTTATTTTATTATTTTCTCATAATTTTTATTTTTTTTAATATTTATAAAATTACTTAATTCCAATTATCTGAAATTTATTTTGATTTTTTGATTAATTTTTTTTAATTTTAATAATTTTATTAATAATTATTTTCAAAGATTTATTTCAAATATCAATAAAATAAAATACATATCTATTTGTCAAATAATTTTCAAAAATATTAGATTTAATATATTGATATTGTCTTTAAGGATGGGTCCCTAAACTATTTAGCATATAAAATTTCACAGATCAATTATGTCCCTTTTGAAGAGACATAATTAT